TGAAATAACGATTTTCCTCCTCAGCCTATTTCATGTTCCAGACAAACGAAGGTGTGCGGAAAAAAAAAGCGTAAAGAAGTTTAAAAATATTAGATTTTTGAACCAAACAACAAATACCTTCTCTGTACATTCGCGCCATTCGTTCCAGAAGCTCATAACGTGGACGACCACCATCACCCGTCGTTCCATTCTCCAGTAAATCAGGATTTTTGAGGATAATTAAAGCCTTTTGGTAAAATGAAACGGCTTTCGGCCAATGCGGTTTCCTGGAAATTGGATGATGCAATACGACGATGTCGACAAAATTCTACGATCATTTTTCACAACCTACTTTACAGGGGTGAAATTTTGGAAGCAAACTGAAGCAAACGGATCACGTAACGACCATAAAATAACGGAGTCTGTACAATAATGGAACCAAATGCTGCGACTGATGTGGAAAACAATGTATGCTTGCTGATCTGAGAGACGTCAGCAAGCGTACATTGTTTTTCACATCAGGACTTCTACATTCACTTCTACATACATTGTTTTTCACATCAGGACTTCTACATTCACTCCGAAGGGCTTCTACACCCGGAGACCAATGCAGAGTGAAATAACAGAAGGATAAAACAATTTTTATTTCTACTACAGCGCACTTTTTTGAACCCAAAAAACGGCCTGTTTCATAGGACTCGGCAACAAACACCATAGCAGAATGGTCGCCCAAATTCGCGGCAACTTCCATCAGCTCGAAGCCAGTGCCTTCCAAATCATCATCCTCCCATACATCTTCAGAAATCACTTCTTTCAAAAGTTCATGTGGCAGACCTGCGAAAATAAAAAATCACAAGATCAATTTAATACGAAAATTTTTCGAAAATGAAAGCTTAAATTTCTTCAGTTCGATTAATGTGCGTGTGCATTTGAGTACTAACCAAGCGCCATTTTTGCCATTGTGATTACCGCTTCCAAGACGCCACACTGTTGCGCGATGCTAAGATGATAAAATGCCGCCTCTTTGTCGAAATCAACATAACTTCCTAAAATGAGCAAAAAAAAAGTGAAGAAATATTTTCAATGTAATATGTATTTTAATCAATTACCTCTTAGGGGTCGGTCCCCTCGCTTCATGCACTTCTTAGATGCAATTAATTCACAAATACAACAAAAAAACCTCCCATCTTATCTGCAGTGATCTCAATATAATCTTCGAATTCAATTGTTACAGGAAAGCCAAATCAGCAAAAATCACATGCTTTTTTCCCACTAAAAAACCGTCATTATGCGTGCAAAAATATAAAGATAAGGCAAAATAAGCAGGGTAAGGTGGCGTGTCTAAATGCTGTACCAGGATCATCGCCATGTTCCAAATCATCGGCTGATAGCATGTTTTCCACACCGGAATTGACTACATCTGTTTTTTTCAGAAATCGGCCCAATTCATGGTATCGTGCAATATCCAAGTGTATCTAAAATAATTCAAAATTTTATGCGAAATGAGACATCGGTAGTGAAAACACAAGAAAAGCCGATAATCATTTCTGCAATACCTGTCCCAGAACAAAACGATTGTTACGAGCGTTTTGGGCCAATTCATAACTTCGCTCGAATTGATCGCATCCTCTCATCTGTGAATCTGCTAGAAGTCCTGCTGGTAATGAGCATTTGCGTATCTCATGCCAGAATGCTTCTTTTTCCGCTTCCTGATCAATCTGATCAATTTGCTGCGTTAGATTTTTGTTCAGAATAATTTTTTTTTAAAAAAAAAGTCGACAACAATTGAATGTGGATGAAATATTAGTTTCTGGATGAAATGGTGCGGTCATCCCATGTGGAATGCTTGTAAATACTTTTATGAGATGCTGGTCTACGCTTGTATCGGAACCTGGTCACTCCTTACATGAGATACTGGCCAGTTCCTTTACGCCCTATCTCATAAATGGAAAGTCAATAGGTATCGCGCAGCAAAAAAAAACCCCCAGGCATGGTGGAAATGGCATTTCGGTGGAGAACTACAGTGGAAGTTTTACACTGCAGGCACTCATTTTCCCAAACGGAAACCAAAAAAATGTTTTCATATAAAGACTTGCAACCGGCTGCCACAGAGCAGCCGTAGCTTGCACAAAGCAAATTTCTGGAACGCGCTAGACTGGCTACCACAACCAAAAAACACGCCTGTTGTATTTGCTAATCAATTCATTTTTGTGTGCGAGGCTAACCGCCATAAGACAACAGTGGACTACTTCTTTAAATATACGGATGAGCCGAGCAACAAAAAGGGGTAAATTTATGAAAAAAAAACCTCTTCATCAATGGACAAATTCGAAGAGCAACTGCCGCCGACACGATGCCCGACGCAACCACTCATGTTGCACGTATCACAAACTGATGACGCTGAAAAAAATATCACAGAAATATGCCTAGAACGTATTCGAGCTATGAATACTGCCAAACGAATGGCGTTTCTGAACCAGATCTTCTTGGGAATACAAGCTATGGACTGGGCGGGATGAGGC